GCCTATGACATAGTAAGTCCCCTCTTGCAGCCATTACGAGGCCCGCTCGAAGTGACCTGAAAATGATTCTCGTAACATCGTGAGAGGAGGCTAATGATAGAACAGGCTATTTTGTTTTGTATTCCGTTATTTTGGTAATGCAGGGGGGGATCCAGCTGGTAGGTGCAGGGGGTGCGCATCCCCCCTGAGATCTGTATCCTTCAATAATTTCCTTATTTTGTATCTTCATGGTAATGATTTTTTTGTGGGGTGCACCCCCTACTGAGTGCCCCGCACCCCTCCTGGATCCGCCCCTGCAATGCATAAGTAACGTAAGAAATATACTGTATTCCTTTTTAATGAACGTACACAGAAATTCTTGGTTTGTGTTTCAGACCAACACATGTCCATCGATTTGTAATTGAACACACCGTGGAGTCTCGCATGTATTCTCTTCTACACGGAAAGTCTTCTGGCGTTGCAAGGTTGGTGATTAAACAACCACGTGCTCACCTAAGATTGGAATGAATACTGTATGTTAAGGCCGAAATGCATGCTGGTTGGTACACCTTTTGTCATAATGTAATGCCGCATAAAACACGGAACAGAATAATAACAAACTAGCATACGTTTGCCATCCAAATTACGTGCTCGTCAGTGTCACCAATAGGTTGAAGATAGCAGTTTGCATTGCATTGTTGTTGGGATTCGGGACAAACATCTTTAGTTCATGCTGCCAAATTTGGTGTTGTTTGTACTGAAGCTAGACCACAATGCATTGCGGTTATGTATTTCAGAAAAGGTAAATGTCAATTTAACGATGTCATATGTATTCATGATAATCCATGATGCATTTCGCCCTTGATATACAGTATTCAGCAAATCTTAAGATAACCTGAGAGAAAGAGAGAGAAAAATCCAAGAGAGGGAAAACACAAAATTGCTGCCATTTGCTTTTCCTTTCTCTCTTGCTCTAAATTTACCAGGATTACCTCAATATGCGCATCATGCCACACTATTGGTTTGTTTTTCGCAGGACTGGGTACAAAGACACAGAAAACCCATCGTTAACCATTGCAGATTTGGCTACGTTATTCAATTATGACGAGGATCAAATATGCACTTTAGATCTTGTCTAGCAAGACATTGTTAGTGCGCAGAACTGGCTACAAAAACACAGGAAACCCATCGCGAATCATTCGCGACGAGGACCAAACAGGCACTTTCAATCTACTCTAGTAATATTCAACAATAAGACAATGAGTCCGGTCTTAATTTTATACAATGACTAAGACGGGATCAAATCAGCAATAATAATGATTGAATGTACAAAGAAAACTTTAGAAATTCATACTTCCATCGATATAAGACACACATTCTTGAATATAGATTTTCGACATATGTCCAGTATGAGCGTGATGTTAGTTTATCAACTCGTAGTCCACTCGTGGTCTTAACTTATTGTTAACTATTTCATTGATCCGAAGTCACGTGGTTTCAGCTCCATATTATCGTCCCAATCCCCCAAAACCGAAACTAGAACAATGGCAAAATACGTCTGGAGTCGATTGAGTCGATCATACGGAGACCTATTGACACTAGGCCTTCTATCTAACTGTCAGCGTGCACTACTCCAAGTCTTCAAATTGCTGCCATGAAAAGCATTCAAAATAAGGTTTAAAACGGATTAATTTTACTTGTACAGTTAACTCAATTTGAACGACCATCTCTCGTAAGCGACCACTTTTTCCTGATCCCGAGGTGGTCGCTTACCAGAGAATTGATTGTAGTCTCTAGCTTTCTCATGCAGTTAGTATAACAACCCTATTGCAGTGATAATAGTAAGGCAAGTGCTTAGGATGTAGTATGCAGGTTTTTTTTATAAATAGTGTCACGTAACAAAATGGGCAATAGGCGATGTGCAGCGAAGCCATTTTGTGCAGCAAAGTGTGTTAAGAGTTGTAGTCCTCGTACATGCCCCCTATAACAGTCCTTCAAAGCCATTTTTGCTTTTTCGCGGCAGAAATCGAAGAAGAATTAGCTGTGCCGTTCTGACCAAAGAAAATATGAAAACAGATTTTAGGGAGGTCGTTATTGTGATGACTACAACTCTCACCATGCTTTATTGTATAACATGGTTTTCTGGTTGAATTAACATCCTTATAATGTAAAGCAATAAAAATGTGCAAAACCTTTACCGGTTCAGTTTCCAACAAAAATGATACTCACCACAGGAAGCCCAATTTTTTAAAAAATTGTCAAAACTTTAATATCCCTTGAGCACCCCCTCTAATTTTGATTAGATGCTACGTGCAAAGTTTGGTCATTTTATTGTAACTTCTGAAAATATCTGACCAAAATTGGAGACCACCTGACCTATCGTAACTGGAGACCTGGACCTATCGTAACCCTAATCTAATCTATCCCCAACACTAACCTTGATTATTCATGATATTAATTTAATTATTATTAGGAATGGCGTTTTTCATTCTTGCGAAACCTACGATAGATGACGATCCCCAAATTTTTTTAAAAGTTCCCTGAAAACATTTGTCACTTCCGGTGGGTTGAGCCAAACTTCTGGTACTCCTGTACGGCGGAACTACAAACGACAGGAGTATTCCGGGAATTTGAGAAAATCAAGTTTCGGTCATTCTCGAACGAACAATACTTTAAAATCGACTTGAAAAGAATCACTTGATAGCCTGAAGTTTACTTGAACGATTTTCTAGCAAGAAACTTATGTTTTGTGTGAATAACGAGGGACAGTGTTTGCATAAAATGAGATTTTAATGAACAACTCGACACAGTACAAAAGGTATNTTGTTGCAAAAATGTCTTACTATCAGCAAGGAGATCAATAGCAAAGGTCTTCAAGCAAAATGTTATTGCAATCTGGGAACTGCTTTGAATTGTGATAATAAATCTTCTGAAGCTATTCCCTTTTTCAAAAAGTCATTGGAAATTGCTGTAGAAATTGCTGATAAAGAAGTGCAAGCTTCAGTCAATGGAAACATTGGTGATTGTTTAAAGGAATTAAACCAATACGAAGAGGCAAGTGAATACTATTATAAATGTCTTATTATTGCTAAAGAAATAAATGACAAGGAACTAGAGGCATTTGCTTATTACAAAATTGGTATTATCAATATTAGCATGAAAAAATTTGATTTTTCATTAGACTTATTGGAGAAATGCATTGAAATTTCTTCCACTATTGGCAACAAAGAACGTAAGGGTGCAGCATGCTCTGCTTTAGGTCTAGTATACTATTTATTACACAAACTGAACCAAGGACATCAAGCGTGTCATGATACTGATGATAATATAGTTAAATCAGAAGAATACTTGAGGAAGGCACTTGGTTGTTTTGACTTTTTGTTTCAACATCTCCATCAACTGGATCATTTCAAAGTCTCTATTTTCGATACATTCAATAAAACCTACAAGCTCCTCACGACCGTGCTGGTTGAAACAAAGAAAGTAGAAGAGGCTCTGTTAGTATCTGATGGTGGACGAGCACGTGCTTTAGGAGATCGCTTGGTCTTCAAATACAGTATGATTCAAGAAGAATGTCCATCGCCTAAACTACTAACATATCCTGATGTAGAAGCAATTCTATCAAACGATAGCTTTTCAATGCTTCATTACAGCTTACTATACAAAAGTTTGGCTGTGTGGGTTTTAGCTAAAGACTCACTGGTGTTCAGAGAAACTGAAAAGGAACAATTTGATTCTGCCATAGAAACATTGACTGAAGAAAAGAAAGATGAAAATTCCAATAAATCGTTTCTTTACTGCTACTGTTGCAAAAGCATATGAAATGTTGGAAATCAAAGAGAGCGTCACTTGTGAAAACAGGTCGCTTGATGATTACGTGACAACGAATGCCATCGACAAAGACACTGAATCTATGTCACGTGATGATGGTACAAGTAAAGACAATCTCGATCAAGCGTCACACCCTCTTGAAATGCTCTACAATTCCTTAGTGACGCCTGTCCTGACACATGTACAACACGACGAGATTGTCATAGTACCKGATGGACCAATGTACAGAGTACCGTTTGCTGCCCTCAGGGATCCCAATACAGGACAGTATCTGTCAGATACCAAACGCATTCGCCTTGCGCCATCAATAGCAATATTAAAGGCTCTAAATGAATGTCCAGTTGATCATCACAGCCAAAAAGGAGCGTTGATTGTAGGAAATCCTAGTGTCGGAGAGGTGATGTTCAGAGGCAAGAAACGAGTGTTTGAACGTTTACCTTCAGCAGAAACGGAAGTCAGCTTTCTTTCAGTTACGCTTAGACAGTCGACCACACTGACTGCCGAACAAGCTACCAAAGCTGTTGTGTTAGAGAAGTTGCGAGAGGGATCAGCTATAATTCACATTGCTGCGCATGGTAGCTCTGATAATGGTGAAATTGCGTTGGCACCAAATGTCTCACCAGAAAGACAAGGAATCCCAGAAGAAGATGACTACCTGTTGACGATGAGGGAAGTCCAAGAAATCGGAATCAAAGCTCAACTTGTTGTGCTTAGCTGTTGCTATAGTGGCCGTGGAGAGATTAGGGCTGAAGGCATGGTTGGACTAAGTCGTGCTTTCCTAGCGGCCGGTGCTCGTTCTGTCGTAGCGTCACTGTGGGCAATTGACGATACAATAACTTTGAGTTTCATGGTGAGTTTTTACAGTTATCTGACTCGAGGTGAAAGTGCGAGTGTAAGTCTTCATAAAGCTATGCATGATATTAGAAAAGAAGGCCACAGGAATCCCAAGTACTGGGCTCCTTTCTTCTTGATCGGTGATGATGTCATCCTCAAATTGAGGTAACTGATTTATACGCACAGACACAGAAGTGTTAAAGAGGAAAATTTCAAATGAGTACAAACATTAAGTGTGTGCAACACTTTCCAATATTTACTACAAAATAGTGTTAATCAAACAATAGAAAACAATAGAATTAGCATAATTTAGCGGTATTTAGTGATATTTATGTTGCACAGTTTTAGTGTTTGTACTCTACATTAAATGTATTTAAAAAACTCATACATAATTAATGAGCTACTAGGCCAATAGAATGAGCCTATTTGGTCACATGCATTGACCTTTATATCTGATAAAACACTCCTTATTAGTATTCTTTATATACAGAATACTAATAAGGGTGACCTTTATCAGATATAAAGCTCCATGACCCTAGCAAAGATCTCAGGTTTGAAACCTGATCATTGACCAATGCAGGATGTCAACCGATTTCAGTGAACAGCCAAGAGCGGTTCTATTTTACTTTATGCGTATTCAATGTGGGATGACAAGAGTACTTTGTAAAGTGATTCGCGCATGATCAGTTTGCCCCATTTACCTCTGAAAATATTTGTACGGCTATTTCTCCAAGAATTTTAACGGATTTGAGTTTCAAATTAGTGTTGGAGTTTTTTAAGCCGTTTAAAACACTCGAGATCGTGTTTTATCAGGTATAAAGAATCTTTATACCTGATAAAACACTCTCTCTCGTGTTTTAAACTATACTTAAATATTAGAAATATATTACGTTATCCCTATAGATCATTTGATTACTTCAAATCATAGGGATAGCTATGATATTTACAGATTTCAGCATTATAAAACAGAACTGTTTAAGTAAAATATATATAATATGATTTGGGATAACGTTTTAAGTGTTTAATATCGATATTTTTAACTTCATGATTATTAGTTCTATACGAGATTCAATCCAAAGTTTTTTAAATATTTACTTGTAATTGCCTTGTATTTAGAAATTAGATTTTCAAGGCAATAAGGACATATCTAAAGACCAAGAGGTTACGTTATTTTTAATAAGTTGTTTTCTTCAAAAATGTTATTAGAGACTGCACTTAGTCTCCTTAGCAAGGTATATAGGCAGATTTATCTACAATCGTTGACATAATCCTTGGACCATTCCAGCGAATTTCCTCATCTTAAGCAGCACCCACAGACAATTTCATCCCCCCTGACCCCCTAAATGCAATATTGTCATTGAGCATGTTACCATAGTACACAAGCATCCAAAACAAGACCCAACATGGATGAAAGTGAACAGTGAAAAAATAAAAGAGAAAAATGATAGGCTTGAGACAAATAATTCTATGGTCCAAGGTTTTTTTGGCAACGATTGTAGCATCGAACTATCTATTTAGAAATTGTGGGAATTTACGCTAGAAGTAAGAAATATCTTTTTAAAGGGTTTTTCTGGACTGCGTCATATTTACAATCACGTTGGTAATTAATGCGTAATTATACGCCCATTTTAGTAACATCTCCAATAGGGATTCTGTCTGAGCAGCTTAGTGTGCAAGTACAGCTGGATAATTAGACGTATTTTTTGAGAGCTGTTCACTCTTAGTATAATATAGATATCAGCTAAAAAAGCCTACACCAGAAAATTAATATGGCTTTTCACCATCTCTACAACTCAGTAGCTAAGAATTTTGATTTAGAGTCATATAATCTCGTGCCCAGAAACCGCGTTACTTTTGGTCTTGCGCATTAACAGGGACAGGGGCTCTGGGTACGAGATTGAGTCATAAACGTACGGTATTTTACAAGTCTCCTTTGTTTATTCATCAGAGAAGTTATTATGAATATTTCAACTTTTCCTAGAGACCAAGATTGATTTCATATAGAGTGATCGCACTTAAACCGTGCAACTGTACAAACTAAATAGTGCTATAGTAGTTGTATTTAGTGAATCGTGCAAGCGGTATGCAAATTAAATTGAATTGATACAATGAAACATTCAAAACGATTCAGGTCCACTTTTAGTACAAACTAGACGCATAACTGCGTAAACTCGGGGTTCTTGTTGATAAAATAGTAGTGAATTTGGTAAGGCTCGTTTACACTTGCGTGTTTGCTATATATTTACTACATATAGAAATGAAAGAAAGTTATAGTGCTTAGAAGGAGGCAATTCCGGGAGAAGTCCCTTAGGAATAAATTCGGAAAAATTTATTTCCGACCTCGCTGGG